GTAGTGATACCACCTCAGAAACCCAAGGAGGGGTTGCTATAAGTCAGATCCAACTCTATGGCAGTGAGTTCATTTTTTTGGTTTTTTTATTGAGAAAGATGACCCAAAATGTAAGCAATTACTGCTTTAGGAACTCCAGGTGGCACAATTATGCTCCAGGCAAGAAATTGGAATTCTGTGGATCCTTATAAAGACTTAGGGAGCTCTGCTGGCGTAGTGCCTAAGGCATTTGACTGCTAAACAGAAGGTTGGTCGTTCAAACCTACCAGCCACTCAGCGGAAGGAAGACTGGGCACTCTACTTCTGTAAAGATTTACCACCTCAGAAACCCAAAGTGGGTCGCTATGAATTGGAATCAACTCGATGGCGTTGAGTTTGGTTTGGTTTTATAAAGACTTATTTCCAAAGAGTTTTCACATAACCTGCAAATGCAGAGAAAGCTGCATAAACAGCATCATGACAGCACAATAGTGTATTAGTTCTATTACAACTCTACCAACCAGAACACACTGCACAGCTTTGAATTTGAACAGATTTTTAAAATCAGAACCAAACCAAAAGGCAAGAAGTTAGTGCAATCTGTCAGTCAAGGGTATCAAAGTTAGTGGAATTCCACTATGCCTTTACTGAGGGGACAGTATACTTACTCTCTGGCTGGAAGACAAACTCATATAACCAGACGATCAGCAGGGTCCACAGGATGCTCCACACAATTAGCTGCCAGGGCTCATACTTGGTACAGTGCCCATTTACGTAATTCTTGGCTTTTGTGGAGTATACTTCCAAAATTTCAAAGTAGGGCTCAAAGGCCTTCTAGAAACATAAGAGAAAATAAGAAACATTAAATTCAGAGAGAGAATCAAAGTCTTGTTTGTTCCTCAACTCTCCTTTTCCAAGGTCAAGGCTATTTAAGATCAGACCTCACCCAGCAATAATCTAATCATCCTCTAGATCCCTCTAGCTTCTGCCCTAGTCACACCAGTGCACACCGCTGCTTAAGAGTTCCATGAACTTTGACAAGGTTTTTAATCTTATGCCTACTCTGTAAAATGAAAGAGTTGAGCAAAATCATCATTTTAGCTCTCAAACTATAAAATGACATCTAGTATTAACTGTCCCATTCTCTTAACTCAAACTAATCCTCTCAACATGAATGTCATTTCTCTTCTCCACTTTATTCAAACCTTTCCCATCCTGTAACCCAGGATTCGGCAAACTATTGTCTGTAAAGGACCAAACAGTAAATATATTTAGGCTTTGCGGGTCACACCATTACAACTAAACTGTGCAAAAACAGTCTCAGACAACACACAAACAAACGAGCCCAGCTGTTCTCCAATAAAGTTTTATCTATGGACAAGGTACTTTAAACTTCATATAATTTTTTATGTATCAAAACATCACCTTCTTTTGTTTGGCGGTTTTGCATTTTAAAAATGTTAAAGCCATTGCCTACAGCTCATGGAAGGAAGATGGGGCAATTGACTTCCGTAGTGATACTGCCTGGGAAACCCAAGGAGGGGTCGCTATGACAGCACATAACAACAACAACAACAACAACAACAACTCATGGGTGGTACAAAAACAGGATGGTTTGATTTGCCTATAGGCCATACTATGCCCAGCTCTAGTATCCTAAGGCCATATTTGATTATAAGACTCTTAAGGTCTTAAGACTCTTAAGGTCAGGGATTCTTATTTTATAATTATTTGTATCCTTCACAATACCTGGCACAGGAACAAGGGGGGAAAAAAAGTCCTCTCATCCATAAGCTAAGCAGAATATCCCATTCATGAGAAACTTTCCCTTTAAGTTTTCTTTTAAGAATTTATTTGTGCCTCTACAAAGAGCTTATCACAACCTGCCTTGAGGTCTACTCCAGTATATTATCTCCCTGACTACATGAATAAGCTCCTAGAGGACAGCCCCTGTAACAGTGCCCTGCACAAAATAAGTTCATTTAATAGCATTTAGTCATTCACTTATTCAATATTTATTCAGCAAATTTAAGGCATTAGAGATTGGAGAGAATATCGTAGGTTCCTTGCCCTTAACTGAGTTTACAATCTAATGGGAGAGGCATTGTGTGTGTACATAAACATAAATGTGCAGACACACACATAAAGAAATAACTAAAATATTCCAGGATAAATGCAATAGGAAGGATGCAAGTGGAATCCTAAGAGAGAATAGTGAGAAAGGCTTACTTAACTAACTCCACCTGAGAGGAGATGGGGTAGATAAGACACAGGATAAAATTTAACCTGGTTAAAACGATAAAGAAAATTCTCCAGGCAGAAAAAATAAAATAAAATAAATAAATAAAGTCACACCAGGAAGAGAGACTAGCAGCATGCAAACAGAGTCTGGTACACTCCGGGAATGGCAACAAGTTCTATGTGATTAGAGTATAAGCTATGCAGGGGCAAGGACCATATCTATCTCATCCAATGCTAAATCCCCAACATATATAGCAGAGTGCGTGGTGCACAATTTGTACTGAAGAAAAACTTGCACAATGGTTAACAGTGACCAAGTAAACAAGCAGACATACCAATCAGAGACCTGGGGCTACAGATAAAAAATGGTCCTAAAAACACATTTCAAAATGCACAAAGAGAGGGAGTATAAATTGATAGGAATCTTTTGTAATTTATCATAAATGTCCATCAACAGAGGAAAGCTTAAATAAATGATGGTACACATGTTTTATGTACCCGTATCATGCAGCATTAAAAAGAACAGATCACATCAATTACATGAAAAAATTTCTAGGACATACAGTCAAATTAAAAAAAGCAAATTACAGAACAATAATAAAATAAAAGCATGAATTGTTCAGCAGGAGAGGTTTTTGTTCTGTTTTTTTTTTAAAAGAAAATTTGTTAAGAGATTGAGTGGTAGGAAGACAGAGGTTAGAAACAAAAATTTTTGTTAAGAAATGGCTGATACAGTCCAGGGGAGAAATAGACTGGGTTTGAATTAAAGCAGTATAACATTAGAGATTAAAAGAAGTAGCTATGATAAGGAACCCTGGTTGCTCAATGGTTAATCTCTCAGCTGCTAACCAAAAGGTCAGTGGTTTGAACCCATCAGCAACTTTGCACGAGAAAAGATCTGGCAATCTGTATCTATAAAGATTACTATATGCCATCAAGTTGATTATGACTCACAGCACAGGAAATCCCATGGGCTGTTCTACTCTGTCCCACAGGGTTGCTATGAGTCAAAACTGGCTCAATGACACACAACAAAAATAGCAGAGATTTGAAAGACAATTTTGGAGATGGGATAAGCAGGTTTGGTAACTTATATTGGAAGTATGGAGTTAAGAAACAAGAAGAGTCAGGTAAGTCCAAATTTTCAAGTTTGAGAGAACAGGTAAGTAGTATCACCATTAACCACGGTTAAGACTTTCTTGTTGCTGTTGTTATGTGCCAATGAGTCAAACCCGACTCACAGCGACCCCTCATTGGGTTTATGAGGCAGTATTACTGCAGAAGTAGGATACTAGAAGTAAAAAAAATAAAGAAGGTAGAAGAGATTTTGAGAAAGAGATACTTGATATTGGTTTAAGTTAGGTTTCTATTGGAAATCCATAAGCAATGTCTCTAGTAAGAGCATGAAAGCTTAGAAGGAGGACAGGTGTTCAACAAATGTTTGTTAAAAACACTTATACCCTTAGCAATTATACTGTAGTATATAAGGTAATTAACATTAGGCAAGTATTGGGTTCCCTAGAGGGCCATCCATGGAAACAACCCCACCACAGTTCTTGGTGGCCATTCCCGAGAGCCCACTGTTGCTATCAACAACCTCAATCCTACAGAACAGCAGCAGTGCCGATCAAGATCTGAGAAAGACCAGAGGAGTCTATCATCATCAAAGGTATTTCATGATTTCCATCATTATAAAGAATCTTCTAGTGTTAAAGCTATGACCAAGCCTATAGTTGAATAATGTATTAAGAATGGGATGACAGGAAGACAATCATTCAAATCTTCTGGTGATGTAGTAGTTGTTGTGTGCTGTTGATTCAGACTCATATCACCTATAAGACAGAGTGGAACTGTCCCATAGTTTCGTCTGATGATACTAGTTCCTAATATACTTAGAAAACAGAGGTCATCAATGTCAAAAAGATAACTATAGACATTTATCAACGCTTTACAGCATTTAACAAAAAATAATATAACTGGCAATGAACCAGCAAATGCAAACTTTTTAAAGCTGTAATATTAAGATATGAAAACATTCCTCACTGACATTTGAAAATTATATGCAATAAGAATATATATTTTTTTTAGTAATTGCTATGGTAAGAAGACTCAGAAGGAAGATGGGGCAATCTACTTCCACAGTGATACTACCTCGAAAACCCAAGGAGAGGTCGCTATGAGTCGGGTCCAACTCGACAGCACATAACAACAGCATGGTAAGAAGATAATAAGAGTCCTGGAACTCAAAAATGGTACTTTCAAAGGAGGTCTATTTTCTTTTCTTTTTTAACGAAAGGCAGATTGCCACATGCAGCTCCTCATGTGGATATGTCTGGAGTTTTAGAAGCTTGACTAACCTATGTTCTCCTACAAATGGACCCTGAGGGCTTGTTTGGAGGCTCTAGCAGGGGAGCACAGCCACTCATATACCCTTGACCAAAGGACAGACCTCTGCTATTAGGGAAGGTCATCTTCTTCAACTAAAGGCACAGCTTTGGGGGGGATGCACATGAAGCAGTAAGGGAAGAAAAGGACACCTGCCTAACCTACCAGATCAGCCAAATCAACCCTGGTGATCAGTGGGGTGAAAGATGTCACTCTCATATCCAAGGAGGTCTATTTTCATATTCTCTTATTCTAAAGACAAAATGATACTGCATTGGATAGGTTCTGGCAAGGTTTTTTAGTACATAACTAGGGTCACAGAAATTAGTTCTTCTGGCTTCATCCCAAGTTTCTTCACCAGGCCTAGGTTATTACAAACAACCGTTCCTTCACCAGCCCTAGGTTATTACAAACAACCTAGACTCAATTCCCAATGATGAAGCACCTCATGACACTGCCAGCTCACTGCATTATTGGGCTCTGTGGGGTAACGTATCTTTATCTCCTTGGAAAAAAGGATGAGGCAGTCTCTTGGGGCCTTAAAAACAGCAGAAACCCCAGGTTGGGCCCTGATGCAATACTCCAAACCTTAGGGAGTACAGAATCTAACAGCTGAAGAGAACCCTAGAGATCAAGCCCAGCATTTTCCTTTTACAAGCTGAGGCCCCCAGGTGAAATGGTGAGCCTGAACTCCAGACTAGGAACCAAAGCCTTCTGAATCAATATTCAGTCATCCTTCAATATCCAACAGCATCCCAAGAGCTTTCTTTTCACAATCCATCTTCTTGGCAGAATCTATCTTGAATATACAATGTAGTTTATAACAAATTAAAATTACATAGCTAAATCATGACTATAAATAACAAAAAGACAAACAATCCAATTAAAAATGGGCAGAAGACATAAATCATGACTATAGACAGAGATAAATGAGATAGAGATAACATGAAAACTTAATATAATTACAATTACTATTTTACACCATGTCTTTTTGCTTATGGCAATACATTTTTTGGCTATGTACATGTGCATATATAAGTTTAATACTTAAGCTTCTATTTATTTCAACTTAATCTATGTTAATCTACCCATACATGAACTATGAATGGTCACTATGAAGGCCACTAACGTATTGTGCAACTCCTGGCAAATATTTCACCAAATCTGTACTTCATTTCTTTACCTAGAAGAACAGACACAAGACTAATACGTTCACAAAATAAAGTGTGTGCACATGCGTGTGAGAATTTTGGTGAAGTTTCTACAAGCAAACCATCCCTTCTTTCATGTTTGTTATGAAATTGGAAATGTATTCCTCTAGAGGGGGAGAAAAAAAAGCACTTTAACCAATCTACATATATAGAATGAAAGTAAAAAACAGCATAAATCTTTTAAAAAGCGTAATACCGAAGGAAAAACAATGTAATGCTAAAATTGATAAACTATAATAGTATGAGCATTCAAGAAGCTATTGTCAGTCAGGAGCAAATTAACCAGCTTTTCTCCTCACGTTCACTCTAATTCCAATCTAATGAATTAGGTTTTAGCTGATGCCTGAGAGACATCCAAATAGTACACAATAAACCTA